AAAAAAAAAAAAAAAAAAAACTTGCTGAAAGTGCATCGATGGGCAACTTTTTACAAAAAAAGTATATCGGAAAGTATTTGATATATCGAGCAAAAATTTAATAAATACCTTGTGGAAATTTCAGGCAAATCGGAGAAATCTGATGATTTAATACGACCCTTATGTGGTCGACATACAGCGACACAATGTTGGTTTCTAAAGGCTCAACTTTAAAAAAAAGTTGAAGCAGCGGTGGTCATAAAAGGGAAACGTTGGTTATTTTTGGCTTTTAAAAAGAGAAAAATCACAATTTTTGGTGCCAGTGTGACTGTAGGGAAAACATTTTCAGTTCACTAAAACTGTGTCCACTTTATTTTCAACCAATAAACTGATCAATAATTGACGAATATTGAGAAAATTTATCGGTTTACAAATCTGCATAAAAAAAGACTTAAAACAATCTGCACCTGCATTCAGAGCATCTTCTAGACACAAAATAGAAATTAAACGAGACCCAAAACGCCTCACAGGCTAAAAATTAATATTACTTAATGCCTCACATGCAGGCTAACGCACGATAGCTAGTTAGCTGTGCACAGAGAAGCTTCTAGTCTCTGCTCAGTCAGTGCAGGTCAGACAGCTGTGAGATCAAGATTTACTTGAAAAAGAGTGAAATAAGAGGATCTACTGTCAGATTTACCTGAAGTCAAGGGATTGTACCTGAACCTGGCTGCTACAATTTAGCGATGCTCCGTAAACGCCTCCAATGCAGGCTAACGCACGCTAGTCGTGAGGGAAAACACTTTAAGTTCACCAAGACTGTGTCCACTTTGTTTTCAGCCAATAAACTGATCAACTAATCAAATCAGGTCAAAGCCGTCACGATCGCGACCATAACGTTACGAAACATGCGGATTTTCCACGCCGATGCTTTTGGGAGTCAAACAAAGCAGGCTGGTGCAAAACAGACGTGAACCGGATGAGCGACGACAAGGAGCGAAGCCGAGCTGACCTTCGAAGAGGTACTGACTGTCCAGCAGACTGGTGTAAGTGTGAATATCGCTCTCTGTGTCCGGAGGAGGCAGCATAAGAAAAGAACGAGGGTTAGTTTGGGAAAAAAACAGGTTAATCAAGAAGCTTCGTTAGTGACTCAAAGGGGAAAAACAAGTTTAGGTTCATCGTTTATAGAAGAAAAAGCAGAAATAAAAGGTGATTTTTCTTGCTGTAGAGAATAATCCTCTGTAATTAAAATTTTATGATTGTTTTTTTTTTCTGGTTTGGAGCACTTTTTTTTTTTTTTGTATTTCTCCTCCCACACAGACGCTCACCTCCTGGACTCGTCCCGTCCGTCAGAATCTGCATGCTGGAGATCCGAGACAACTCGACCTCAAAGTGGGTTTCACCGTCCAGGAACAGATACCTGATGTTTGGGTCAGAAAAACGACAAGCGTGAGTCAGAAATCACTGAAAATCTGACTGGAACGAATAAAACTAACACATGTGAAGGATTTAACAGCACATTTGGTGAAATCTCTGTCAATGTCAGGCTCTTCATGCCTGTTTATTAACTTGTTTTGGATCCAGACGAGAGAGAAATTCTGACGGGTTTCTTTAATCGATAATCAATCAACAAAACGTTAAAACGAACAGACACCAAAAGATGCAACACGAGAAAAAGTTTTCTGTATTTTGGTTGAAGTGACTTAAACCTTTTAAACTCCAAAGCGTCTTCTGTCACATTTTTACTCACTGTTGGCAAATTTTTCACTACAACATGTCCAAATCCTGCACCTACATGGAAACAGAACAAGTAGAGAGAACTCAGAAATGTCTAAAACAGAAATCACTAAAAAAGAAAAGGCAAAAGCTGTAATTTATTAGATTTTGTTGTTTTGCGGTTTTGCGTTTTTCTGTCTGACTGACCCAAGATTTGCTTAAAAATTCCTTGAAACGCGTTTTAAATGACTCAAAACAAAAACAAAATATGACAATTTTCCGGTTGTGAGTCTCTGCACATCTGCTGTCGAAAGACGTTTCACAGTGAGAATATTCTGCGCGGTCGGGGGACGCTTCCACCCTGAGGCAGCGCTCCGACGGGGTGGAAGTGTCCAGAACGCACAGACAGTACTCGTGTACTCAGTACTGGTGGCAGCGCCGCCACCATCCATGTTTACTTCCATAAACACTGAGCATGCTCGCTGCGTGTGACGTCGTTGTGTCCTCTTCTGCGCATGCGGGACACTTTTGGGTCGTATGAAGTTCACACAGCAGATCACAAACAAGTCACATTTAACTGGAAATGTGAACGAACTCACAAAGAAATCCTCATTGAGCATCAAGTCCTGCAGTGTGAACGTAGCCAATCTGTGGATTGTTCAGTCAGATAATACGCCGTCATCCTGATTGGTGACATTAAATGTCATGTTGAAGTCAGAATCCAAGGCTGTCGCTATGTTAAGGCTGTTTTTATGGGTTCCATTTATTTTTCCTAAAAACCTGTCGGATAGCAAAGTTTAGGACTGTTAAGGGTCGGACTATCGAGTCACGACTGTATATACTTTGGCATATATACATATGAAAGTTTTGAGTTTTAAAATATAAAGACATTCAAGCAGTGCTTAGCAAGAGGCACAGCTTTCACAAAGCATCCAATGAGACTGATGTGACCTTTGCAAGATCCTGCAGAAGGTACCTCCATTTTTTTCCCCTCTCCCTGTTTTTGTTCTTTCTCCATGTCCCTGCCGGGGTTCCGTAAAATTTAATGTCAGATAGTGAAAAAAAACACACAAAAAAAAACGGTTGTGTGTCTTTTTATACAGTGTGCGTAAAGTTCTGGTTTCAGCTACATCGTCCATCTACTTCCTTGTCTGTTCACTGTTTCTGAGCCATGCTGCAGATTTTCCTTCAGCTACCTCAGATTTATTTCACATTTATTTTCTCCCCTCTGCTCTTTGTAAACACAGCTTGCAGTTAAAAAGGAAAACCTCAAAACTCCTGTCACTCTTACAGTCGTCCTGAAACGTATTCATACCCTCCCATTAAAGAAGGAAACAAACAGCTGTCACTGAAATAAGTTGAAATTAACAAAAGTAATCATAATAAAAATGTAATGAATATCATGACATTGCTTTTGGATTGTGGTTCAACTGAAATATTTTTTTTAAAAAAACAACAACAACAACAACACACAAGCAAACAAGCATGATGGGACCCGTAAACTAATATTTTGACAGTTTAGTTTGTTTTAAAAAAATTATTCTTTTCAACTACAGTTCAAAAGCAACGTCTTATTTCACTAAATTATAATTTAGCAAATTTTTAGTTATTGTTACTTTTTTCAGTTTCTAATTATTTGAGTGACTATTGTGAGTTTTGCCTTTTCTTTAATGGAAGGGGATGAATACATCTGAGGACGACTGTATGTGAAGCTGATGGTTAGTTTTGTTTTATTTTTTATTTTTTTTACAGAATCGGGCACAAATTGTTAATTTCTAAATTCTTCAATAAGATATAAATTTAGGCCGTTTTCTTAAAATACCATAATTTCAGGCTCAGATTTGATCGTTTTTCCACAACAGAACTGCACGTCGACGACAGTTTTTTTCAGTTTTTACTGTTTCTTGCTGCGACGAATCGTGTCATTTTGATAATTTTTTTAACATTTTTTTCGTTTCGGGGTTTCTTTGGGATTAAAAGCTCACCTGTGGTTGTTGGAGAGGCGACACGTCATGGTTTCAGACTTCTCCGAAGTTCCCAAAACGACGACGAAGTTTCCTCCTGGCGTCAGAAAACAGGTAATAAACACTGAACTCCTGACAGATGATCAACACGAGTGGTAATGAAAACACAGAAAAACCCGTCCATCTGAAAACACCATCTCTGATTTACCTGATATTCGGATAGCAGAAAATATGGATATTAATAAAGAATAATAATATCTGTGAAATTTCAGACTAATATATACATATTTCTTTCTATTTTGTATTTGTTATTATTGTATTTATTTCTGGAGCCCACTTTGTAGGTGTACAAATAAATGAAATGTGAATAAAATTAAAAATATTCCCTTAATTTCAATTAAATGTCTTAATTATACGTTACATTTTAAAACCACCGAGATCAGACTGTCGTCAATATTTCTGTTTTTGTGCTACGACTTGTCAAACCTGCTGAACCTGTGATAAAAGTTCAATGAAAATAACTTTTTTTTTCCTTTCATTTCTGTGACCACGAATTATTCTACGTGTTTTGTTTTGTGCAGCTACGTACGGTTCAGTAAAAATCACTGGCTGACGTCCACATTATCAGCTGTTTGCGTTTAAAGCTGGGACTTGTCATGACGGACTAATAAAAAAAAAAAAAAAAGTAGAAATCACATTTCAACTCACCCATAATCAGAGACTATCTGATCTACTTGTCTGATGTTATTCATCAGATTCTAAATCAATGACACGATGACAAATACCTGTGAAAATATCATGTTTTTATCTTTAATCGTTCCTGAGATGTTGTCGTTTAAACAAATTTCAGTGCTTGGAAAAAAAAAAAGAAGAAAATGGAACGACGCTGCTGTTTCTGTGTTCTGTTTATATATATATGTGTATATACACTATATTATTCCTCATTTTATACTTTCTATTATTTTTTTTAGTGTATTTAATGAAGTTATGCCGAGTTTTACATCATAACAAAATGCATATGAAGCAGGACTCAGTCTACAAACCAAGCTCACCACAACAACACACACAAAAAGAATAACAGCTCATCAAAAACACACAGTATGTTGAATAAAGTGGAGCTGAACGATGACACCGTGTGACCGAAGTCATCACTCATCCTGTTGTATTAGTTCCTGAGATGTTTCTGCTTGAACAGCCATCTGATGTATTGATCTAAATTGAAAATGTACGTTTATTAAAATAACTTTTAATGTCGATGGTTTGTGATAAAAAGCAGAAGGCTGCCGGTGATTTCAGACGGAGAATCTCATCATGGAGTCTCCATCTCTCGCCAGCTTTCCCTCCCAGAGTCATTGATAATTCTACGATGGATAAATAACACATGAAGCTCGACGTGCTTCCGGCTGCTGATGGATTTTTCACGAGGAGCCCGACTGCATTCAAAGCTGCACGACGGATGGATCAGGGCGGACGGAGGCACTCTGTTTGCTTCTGTTTCGTTTTCAGTGAACGTGACGAAATCGTGAAAACATGTAAACGAGGAAGCAGCGAGACGAAACAGAACCACGCGTCGGGCTTCTGGGCTTTTGTTTTTCTGAATCGAACCGTCCAGGAGTTTTGCTTTTATCTTCAAAACAGCAGTGAAAACAGTGGTCAGGAAAAGTTGTCTGATCACGAACCGACTCCTGATTTATAACAGAATATTCTTTTAAAAATGATTGGTCTTGCTGGGGTTTTTTGCACACATTTGTCCTGTATTTTGTACATATTTTACAGCACAATGTCAATCTGCATAAAGATGCACACGACTAAAAAAGATGAACGAGTTTTATGCAGACACCAAACTTCACCATCTCATCATAAGTACGAGGCTCAAGTTGTTCACTTAAAATGATGCAACAATAGATTTGGCCAAAAATGTTCTAAAATGTAGACATTATATGTTCCTTTCTCCATTTTATTCTTTATTTCCCACTTTGTAAAGCGTCTTTGAGCGTTTATGTAAAAAAACAAACATGTAAAATTATGATTAAAGCGAGCACAAGTTAAAAACACTTTTAAACAACTTTTAAAAATCCAATATTTTTGAACTGAAGTTCTCACATTCCCATCGATTTGTTTGAAAATGTAGAAAAATCTGCATGTTCAACAAATTAGAAGCATTAATTAGTCTCAAATATGGGGGGAAAAAATGATTCAACTTTTTAAAACAAGTAGAAAATCAGCCACATTCGCACCAGTACACGTGAATGAATGAGTGAATTCTCACCTCCCAGAAGCACTTTGAGCTGCTTGTCGTAGAACTCCGTCTCTTTCTGGGACGCCAGGCTGCACTCGGCACACTGTCGGACCGGATCCACGAAACACATCCGGGGCAGCGCCACCTTCTTGCTGCAGCATTTATCGCAGAAGCAGCGGCCGCACCGCCGACAGTGGTGCTGCAGGAAAACATGCATCAGATTTACCGGAAACAAGTCGCAGCCGTTTAAAAGACATGTTGTGTTTTCAAGAAATTACTAAAATGACACCATTCATCAGAGCGAGCAAGAGTAAAACAGAAAAAATCACGAGGTTCCCAACTTCCCAGCACTCCTGGAACTGAACATGTGCGACGGGTTGTTCTTCATGGAAAAATTAAAATTAAAATCGCAACATAGATTTTAAATCGCTTCTTTTTTTTTTTTTTTTTTTTTTTAAATTGCCAAAAATAAACGGGGCTGCAAGGTGGCTCAGTGGTTAGCACCATCGCCTCACAGCTAGAAGGTCGCCGGTTCACGTCCCGGTGAGGACACCCGGGATCTTTCTGCATGGAGTCTCCATGTTCTCCCCGTGCAGCGTGGGTTCTCTCCGGGTTCTCCGGCTTCCTCCCACAGTCCAAAAACATGCAGAAGTTAATTGGTGATTCTAAATTGTCCGTAGGTGTGAATGTGAGTGTGCTTGGTTGTCTGTCTCTAAGTGTAGCCCTGTGATAGACTGGTGACCTGTCCAGGGTGTCCCCTGCCTTCACCCTGAGTCAGCTGGGATAGACTCCAGCCCCCCACGACCCTAGTGAGGATTAAGGTGTAGAGATGATGGATGGATGGATGGATGGATGTTGTTAATAGGTAAATTTGTCATTTTCTAATTTGTATTTGAGTTTGTTCAAATGCCCGATGATGAGCAGAGACTCAGTTTTTTTTCTTTCTGACAACGTGTACGACGTGTTCGTAGTTTTCTGTTGGAACCTGACTAATACAGTCTGTCGATTTGGGCCAGAAAGCGATTTTTAAATCTCTGAAGCTGGTTTAAATAAAAATATCTCAATCTCTCACTGTTAGCAGCAAAAGTGAGGAAAGACGGACCATCTGCCGCAACAGGACGCTAAAAAAAGATCTGGTTTTCTGCTCTTTAAAGGAAAAGGAAGTTCAAAAAAACTAAAATAATTGGGCAAAAACCTCCAGACAGCTGAGAAGTGAATAACACCGCGTCTATCCAATCATTCGCAGATTATGTCAGGTCCACACAGATAATAAGAAAAGTTCCAGGTGAGCCGATTTAACTATAAACACGTTATTTCCTGGCAAATCCAAAAATAAAATAAGCGAGCAGAGTGACAGATTTACAGTTTTTGTTATGCGAGTGGAAAGAGAAACTCTCTATGTGTTTTCACGCCAAAGCAAACAAAAAAAAACTCCTCTCAGGTTTCAGAACTCTTCGGTAAAACGTTTCGGCTCTGTGACTCATCAGTGATGCAGAGAAACAAAACAGACCTTTCTTCTGATGAAGTCGAACTTGGTGTCACACTGCATACATCTGGGGCACTGGAGGACAGGAAAGGAGGGAAAACAGGAAGTTAGGCAACATGCTGACTCCAGCAGATTCAGCTCGTTCTGACTTTTGATCACGTATCAACAGATTTTGTGAGCTACGGCTGCACAATATTGCAAAAAACTGCGTTATTTTGTTCCTCTGCGACGTGAAAAAAAAAATGAAGAAAGTTTCACCGCGTGACTTGGAAAGAATTAATCGTTCTGGAAAGATTGGGCGGATTTTGTGGTCGAGTGCAGAAAATAAAAACATGTTTTTTTTAAAGCATTGCTTATTATTTCTCATTTGATGTAGCTCTGGTATCCAAACTAGGATTTTTGTTTTGCTTTGGATGACATTTAGATCTGACTGGCAGATTTAAACGACCAAACAAATCAGCCACATTTGCTTGACATCTTGTTTTTTTTTTCCGCAGCCGAAATATTTCCATACAACTGACAAAGAGCTGCAGACAAAATGATAAACTGTGATTATTTTGGTTAGTATTGAGCACATTCTTTTATCTGAGAGACAAAATACTTAGTTTGCACCTTCACATTAATAAAAAACAAACAGAGCTCTGCCTTTACTGGCTACATTCCTGCTAATAACACGATTTATTATAATTAAATTAAGAGCACCTCCTCGACGCTAAACACGAACAAAATTGTGGCCCTCACTCGCTGAACATCTGCTTATCGAGAGACACAACAATGCAGATGTTCCCCAAACACCTCACATGCTGTCTACGGCAGACGCTAGCTAGTTTAGCTGTGCACCGAGAAGCCTCAGGTCTCCGCTCAGTTGCTGCAGGAAAACCGAAGCTAAGACAGCACAGTTGAAGTTAATCACTTCAAGATATTCATGCAATTAAACCTAAATTAAATGACATCTTAAAACTAGGAACTGAAGGTAAAAACATACCACAAGTTACTGATGTTCCCTAAACGTCTCACGTGCAGGCTACGGTGGTGGAGGCTAGCTAGCTTAGTTGTGCACAGAGAAGCTTCTAGTCTCCGCTCAGGAAGTGAAATAAAGCTTTCTAACGTCAGGTTAGCTCAAGATGAAACCAAGCAAATTTATCTGCATGTACCGTTTTCTACTAATTTAAAATGGCAGCATCACAGCTGATCATTTTCAATTAATTGTGGGACTCGTGACGAAGATCTCGCCCCACAACTGATTTCTGCACGTTGGCAATCTCTGCATCTTAAGGAAAATCATTTCTAAAAGTCAATCAAAACTCTGTAAAATCCTAAATTAAGATACGACAGAACTTTATTAATCCCAAACTTCCTCAGAAAACCTCGGCACAAGAACTTTAAAAGATTTCAAGCAGCAAACAGAGTTTGTATCATGATGTGTTTCAGTTCATGTGTCCTGATTCACGTCACACTTTCACGCCTGATGAAATATAAAACAACGGCCACAAATCCTACTTTTATGAAGCTCCTGTGCGTTCACACGGAGGCAATAATTCTACTTCATGTGAATTCTTGGGGTCAGAGCACATCAAGTGTTCTTAATATTCTGTCCAGTACATTCACATCAGTGAGCACATTAGGGACATTTATCGACACAATGCAGTCCATCACACCTCCACCACTAACCACTATCGCCAACATAAAGTGGAATTATAACCTTTTTGACAACTAAAAGTGACAGATCTGTTCACTGGATTCCACAGGTGCATGTATGTGCAGCTCTAATCTAGATTACTGCTAATATCATGGTTTTATTCCTGCAGCCCTTTTGCAAAAGAGAAGCACAGTTTGTTCAAGATTTTTTTTTTTTAAAGCAACATTTAGGAGGATTTACTGTAGTCTGACAACCTAGACTTTGCACTTATTACTTCACTAGTTCCTCATGAAGATCACTTTTTCATGCCTTTCTTTTTGTGGGGGACATGTTTTTCGGACTATCGCACAGAGTTCGCAGCTTCATCCGGTAATAAATGATTAACATCAGTGCGGTCAAAGTGCCTCAGCGAGCCACAGACGGAGTTTCGCATCAACAGCTAGCAAAGCGGCTACACAGGCTACGTGTATCTGTTAGCTCACGGGGGAGCTGACACTTTAACGAGCCCCTCCAGCGGAGATAACCGCCATAACTAAGTTCTGACGGCTAGCTTCAGCTGTTAGCTAGCTGGTTAGCTAAGTGCTCGCTGCCAGGCTGGCCGTGACAGCCTGCGACGCCCAGTCCGGGGGCCAACAGCGACGTCCGGAGCCGCGGCGAGCTAACCGGCGTTAGCATGAACACACCGGATGCTGCGCTGTTTCCAAAATAAAAGCGCGTCACCTCTCCATGAGACGCTCAGACAAGTTCTAATCGCGAATCTGTAAACGGGACAGCACTTGTGAAACTCTTTAACTAGACTTTCTGGGACCTCCATTAGCTACACAAAATAAATGCTAATCTATAATAACAGACAACATATACTAAATTAAAAAGTAAACTGCCCATCAAACTTGTCCAATTTAAGGACAGAGTTGCTCAAATACAGGTCAAAGTTGTTCAATAAATTTTAGGTCAGAGTTGCTCAAATATATGTCAAAGCGGTCCAGTTTCAGGGCAAAGTTGTCAAAATGTCAGTCAAAGTTGCTCAATTTTATGTTAAAGTTGCCCCATAATAAGTCAGAGCAGCTCATTTAGAGATCAGAGTTGCTCTATTACATGTCAAAGACGGCCGTTTTTACTTCAGAGTTGCTCAATTTTAGGTCAAAATGGCTGAGCATTAGGGTAAAGTTGCTCGATTATATGCAAAATTTACCTCATTTTAGTTCAGAGTTGCCCTATTTTATGTCCAAGCTGCCTAGTTTAGGACAAAGTTATCAGATTTTAGGTCAAAGATGCTTAATTTGAGGTTGAAGTTGCTCAAATATACATCAAAGTTGCCTAATTTCAGGGCAGAGTTGTTAAATTTTAGGTCAACGTTGCTAAATCTTTGGTCAAAATGGTTCAAAATGAGGGCAAGTTGCTCGATAACAGGTCAAATTTACTCAATTTTAGATCAAAGTTGCTCAAATATACACCAAAGTTGCCTAATTTCATGACAAAGTTGTTCAATTATAAGTCAAACTTGTCCAATCTCTTCATTTTGTGTTACAGTCGTCCTATTACAGATTAAAGAAGCTCAGCGGCAGGTCAAAATTACTCAATTATACGTCGAAGTAGGTCAGAGTTGCCCCATTATGTGTCAAAACTGCCTCATTTCAGAGCAAAGCTGTCAAATTTGAGGTCAGAGTTGCCCTATAAGGGGTCATAGCAGCTAATATACAGGTCAAAGGCGCTCACTTACAGGTTAAAGTTACTTAATCATCGGTCAAAAATGCCCAATTTTAGGTCAGAGTTGCTCAAATTTTGTAGAAGACTCGAGCAATATTTTGACTTTTTACACCTGTAGATGGATAAATGTTATATATTGAACCGTGTGTCTTCATCAGTATAACGGAGTATAGGATTGTGTGTGTGCATTTAAAACTTTTGGGTTGGTGCAGAACATCTAAAAGCACAAAAAAGAACAAAAGCATTTTCTGTAATATTACGTTCTGATTAAATCCCTTCTTCTCGTTGTTAATTTAGCGGCCTTTATTTTGAAACTCCGCCGGAGCGCGTGATGCTAGCTAGCTTGTCGCCGCTGCCCGCTCGGCTCCGCTCGCCCCCTCCGGCCGCCTCACCTCTTTGTCCGGGACCCACTGCGGCTCGTCCAGGGAGAAGGGGCTGTTGAAGGCTCCGTTCTCCGGCACCATGCGGAGCCCGCTGGGGCTGCGGACGAGCTTCTTCCCGTCGGGGACTGCGGACATTTTGGTTCTGCGGCCGTTTCTGCGGACTCTCCCTCAGCGAACTCTCGTCCGGACACGCCCTCCGAGATGACTGACAGGGCGCTCGACCAATCAGAGCACAGGTATCCGATCATGTGGCGCTCTGGTGAAGTGGAGTGTTTTGGTTTTTGTAGCCCCGCCCACTCCGCCCACTACAATAATAATAATAACAATTATTATTATTATTATTCTTAATATTATGTAAAAGGGTTAAACTAATTACTGAAAGAAGCACAACAGTAATTTTTATTACTAATATAATTCCAAGACTGTATTTGTACTTTTTATACAAACAGAATGTCACAGAAATGAAAAACAATAAAAACAAAACCTTTTTTTTTCCCACACCAGAACCGGAGCTGCGTCCCAGTTCATTCATGAATGTCATGAATCGAGCCAATAATGTCTCATTAAGTCGATAATAAATGCAATGAGCAATAAATGAAATGAAATGAAATGAAATGAAAAATACTTTATTTATCCCAGAAGGGAAATTCAATTCAATAACACCGGAGGCAGAATCATTTGTTTAAAAAAAAAACAAAAAAAGCAATAATTTTAAATAGGTGGTAAAAGATGAATAAAAGCAAAAGCCAAATTGTTTAAATAGAGATATTAATAAATCAAACTGATTAAAAAACATTTTAAAACTGCCTTATTATCATTATTAATAAATAGAATTTTATTTTCAAGCAAATGTCTTTTTATTTAAAGTCATTATTATATTACTATAACGATAATAATAAAAATTGATCCATTAATTAAATGTATTTGCCTATTATTATTATTACTATTTTGTACAATAATACTTTTAGAAATACCTCTAAATATTTGTCTATTTACTTAGATTAGTAGTACAACTTTTATGATGATGATGTTTTTTATGATTATTGGAAAGATTTTCAGAAACCACACAACAGAACAACGTGACTTTGACCATTTTATTCTTCACATACAATAAAGCTGAACAAGCATCACTTCTGCTCACCAAACAAATCTGCAGACCAACTTTCCTCGATCGCAGTGCAGCTGGAGAGCAACTAAAACGACCATTTCCTCGACTGTGTCACAGCTTTTGCTCAGTTTGACCTCGTTGCCCTCTGACGTCATTAAATCACCGCAGCGAGGACTCATACGGAGGAACGTCTGTTCACTGCTCGCACACACTGATCACGGAGGGACAGTTTACGGAGATGTTCTTAGAAGAACGTTACATTCAAGCGTTTGTTGTTGGTTTTTTTTATAATTCTTCTGAGTTGTGGAGCGGAACCCGAGGAAGACGCAGCATCCAACGCGTCGCCATGGTTACTCAGCAGAGTCTGAAGTTATTTATGGGACATTACAGATGTGTATTTTAACCTCCTTTGAATTAACCTTCTAAACACCTAAACTGCTGAAGAAAAAAAAAAAAAAAAGATAGATTTTTTTGTTCTTACAATTTAGTTTGGATTTTTAAAAAAAACAAACATATTATTTTGTGAAATTACAGATAATTAGTAAAATCAAATTTCTGCTTCTGACCACAAATTTTTAAATACATCCGCAAATTTGTCGCAATTTCACAAAAAAAAAACCTGATATTTTTATGTACTAGATGAAACTTTTGAATTAAGGTTTAATGCTATGAATTTACGGTAACTCATCGTTAAATAAAATTGCAAAAACCGCACCGTCTGCCGAAGGAAGAGATTGTAAAAACCGAAAAAAGAATCAGATCATCGGCTCTTTTTTTCCTACGGTGCATGTTAGCTGCTCAGATGTTCTCCTTCTGGTGCCGTCGAGTTAAAGTTCATCCGTCTGTTCCCGCCGTTTATCGGTCCGTGAGCAGGAACGGCCGCATGAACACGATCTTTCTTTATAAAAATGAATCCCCAGAATCTACAGCAGCAGCAGCGACCGTCCACAGAACCGCTCCACAAATCAGCAGGAGTCAGGAACACAAACGTACACAAAAACAAAACCAGAACGACAACAAAAGGACGAACTGAGAGGTTTTTAGCTTCACTGCTTTAACGAGAAACGCGTGAACTCAAACAGAACTCGTCTGCGCTTCGGTAAGTCCCGAGTTTACGTCACGTCGGCGTCGCTCAGGAGTTATTTTGTGATTTTAAGTCGTGGTTTTTAGGATTTTAAGGTTGTTTTTTATCGCGATGACAAGTCGATGTCCGAAGCTTGTCCTCCACAATGTCACAGCAGTGATGCACACGGCAACAGGTTGGGCAACTTGGACCTGCAGTTGAGCTGTACTTGACCCATAAGTGAGCAACTTTGACCCCATAAGTGAGCAACTTTGACCTATAATTAAGCAACTTGGACATAAATTGGGCAACTTTGACAAATAGTTGGGCAACCGTTACCTAAAATTAACCAACTTTGGCCCACAATTGGTCAACTCCGAGCTATATTTGAGCAACTCTGACCTATAATTGAACATCTTAGAAATAAAAGTGGGAAACTTTGACCTATAATTAAGCAACTTTGACATCAATTGGGCAACTTTGACCTGTAATTAAGCAACTTTGACATAAATCGGGCAACATTGACCTATAATTGAACAACTTTGACCCATAATTGGGCAACTCTGACCTACAATTCAGCAACTTTGACATAAAATTGGACAACTTTGACCTACAACTGAGTAACTTTGACATACAATTGGGTAACTTTGAGCTATAATTGAGCAACTTTGACATAAAAGTGGGCAACATTGAACTATAATTGAAAAACTTTGACCCATAGTTGGGCAACTTTCACCTATAATTGAGCAACTTTGAAATAATTTGGGCAACTTTGACTTATAAATGAACAACTTGGACCCATAACTGGGCAACTTTGACCTATCATTGAGCCACTTTGATGTAAGATTGGGTAACTTTGACCTACAATTGAGCAACTTTGACAGAAAGGTAGGAAACTTTAACCTTAAATTAAGAAAATCTGCCATATAAGTGAGCAACTTTGATGTAAAATATGGCAACTTTGACCGTTGATTGAGCAAATGTGACCCATAAATGGACAACGGTGATCATTTGGTGGTTATATACGATTATTTACACGAAGGGTGGAATTAAAACATTTTAAACACCTTCATGTATCCTAAATAAAATGCAAAAAAAAAATAAAGATAGTCTGCATCCTTTAGAAAAAAAACAAAAAATGTTTAAGTAAATAAAATGATAACTGCAAAATTTGCAGCATTTATTCAGTATTTTTGAGACTGCTCACAAATTCAATTGTATTTTTTTTAAAAGTTGCCTATTTTTCAATCAATTTTCCGGTTTAACTTAAATTTAGTCAAGTGTAGGCGTTTTGTTTTTAGCTGCAAAGTTTAAAATGATCCTCTGAAGAACACCAAAGAGGGGATTCTAGGATCTATTTTAAACCGTAGTGGTATTTACATCTGAGCAGTAGTGGTTCATTTTCAGTGCTACTTCAGCTGTGGACCTACTTGTGTTGTGTGTCGACCACATTTGGAATTTAGGAGATTTAACGGATTTGTTCGGGCGTTTGAATCGTCCTTGTTGCTCGGTTCGTCGCAGCCACGAGACGCTTTACATTTATGTGCCTCAAACATTAAGAAGGTAAAGACAAGATAAAAAGCAGACCGATCAACGGTCATCACGAAGCTTCAACACACCAACGATAAAACCAGCATTAAAAAGAAAACAATAAATCCTAAAATGAGATATTCGACATTTAAAAAAGAAAAAAAAAATCTTTTGAGTTGCAGTTTTAATATTTACATTTCAGGGCGTTGCTGTTTGGGAAATGACAACAGAAAGTGAAGGAAATATTAAATGTTTACTGAATTTAGATATAATAACTGTAAGACGTACAGAGTTTGTCTTATTGCACAATAAACTAAACTTTTAGAGATTTATCATGTGAACAAACTGATGGACAAACTGGATGATCAAAGATATTTCTGTTTGTCTTTTATCAAAGTACATTTCAGTGAATATCGGCTCTCATATTATGATTAATTCATCTTAAACATCGACACTGAAGGACAAATGTTTTAAAAGTCTCTTTTAAGGCATTTAAATTAAGCTTTCTATTTTGTCGTATTTTAAATTTTGACTCCAAGATTTTCATTTTCAGAGTTTATCAGCCCTAAAAAAAACGTGTTTCGGTCGACACCTTAATCCACGTTTCAGTTCACATCTTTATATTTTTTATTCTACTTTGATTTTTATTGATATTCTTTTAAAATCGTATTGATGCATGTTTTTAATTGTTTTTCTAAAATTTTGCCTTCTTATATTTCTTGTCTTAAATCAGATTTAAGGTAAATTTGGATTTATAAAATTTGTTAAATGTAAGAAAATTCAGATTTTTTACATTTTAAGAAAAATTATGAACGTCAAAAAAGGAAATTAAAAATTGTAAATTCAGATATTTTTATTTATTTTTAATTTTTTTATAATTCCTTCTTTTATATGTTATTTCAAGGCATTTATGTCTCGTGCAAAAAAAAAAACTTTGTGGCTTTTTTTCGCCCAGTATATGTAATTTTGATTTGATCAGACAATTCCTAATTAAACACAAAAAAAAAATCAGCCAAAAGAAGAAAGTAGTTTGTTTAGACCGAAACTGTACTTTGGCGTCCTTAGTTTTGCTTGTTAAAAATGTATTATATCTGTAAAGCATCTTAGTAAAAGTAGAAAAACACATGTATTAGTGTTTTATGTCATTATTTGGGCTTTTGCTATGAATTGTCCCTTTCTGTTGCTTTTGTCAGACACTTGCATGTTGTTTTCATTTTAATTATTTGCATTTTTATTCACTAAGTTCCCAAAAGGACAAGTTCTAGCCTCTACAAATGCAGAAACTGTCTCTTGCAGTGGCTGTGGAGCCCAAAAAATATAGTTTGCTGCTTCTTAAACTTACATTTACTGTCGTTTTTTTCTGTCTGACTGTAAAATAAATGCAACTTTAATCATACAAAAATAAATATTCCAGCTCTTGGCGCTTTTTAAGAAGGCACTTGATCCTGGGTGTGAATTTAAGGGGCTTTAAGTGAACTTTAACCTTCCTTGTGTTCAAGCTGGTCACCGGCATAAGACAATAAATGTGCTAAATATTCATTATTTCCCTTAAAAAGCAGCACTTGTGCCTTGTGAGCTTCAGTTAAAAGGGCGTACAATCAAGGAGCTTCAAGCAAAGATTACATCAGTCGGTTTAACTTTTACATCCTTGTGATAAATCCTTCAGTACTGATGTTTGGATCTGTGTGATGCACAACGTCCAGCCGTGAACCTCTGGTTTACAGTGTCTGTTGAACTAAATCCAGCTAACAGAAGGAGCGCTGCTTGTTTTGGTGATAGCAAATATATATATTTATTATTTGCAGTTTAAATCTCTACCGAAGACTCTTGCCTGTTGCTGGTTAAATAATTCGGGTTTTTTTTTTTTGGTTCGACTCTACCGTCCTGGTAAAGTTTTGTCTGGAAACGTGACGTGAGCTTCGCGGCGACAAACGCGAGCCTCGGTCCTGAGAAAGAGTCGGCCGCCTTCACGTGCCAATAAACCGAACCGCTCTGGAGGCTTCTGACAGAAAAATATATTTTAAAAAAAATAAAAAATAAAATAAAAACAAACTTTCCGGAGCAGCGAAGACGCGAAACACATCGTTTATAAAACCCCAAATGTAAACACAGAACTTCATACATCAGAAAATCTTCAACCGACGCGAGGACGGAACAGGTTCAGAAGCAGCGAAGACGAAGGCTCCTCGACGGGTTTTAAACATTGTAAAACATCCGTGTATTTCCTAAATGAAACCAAATTCAGAGCGAACGCGGAGCCGAGCTAAGCTAAGCTAAGCTAACGTCCGGGTCGGCCTACAGAAAGACGTCATTGGTGGACAGTTTTTCAGTGCAGAGGAGGCAGATTTAGTCCAATTAAACCATTTTCTGAGAGGCGCTGGTCGAGTTAAACCTCGAGTTAGAAAAACGGTGAAGCTGAGACGCTGATAAGGGAATTTTGACGACTGATGTTTACAGTCCGCGAAAACTACAAAATGACAGAATGTTCTTATAGCTTGTATTTGTGCGTCCAAATCTAACTGGACCAGTGTGCAGGATTCAAAAGGATCTACTGGCAGAAACTGAACATGTACTTCATCATGATGTTCTTTTAATGCGAAGTCACTTGCAAATGATGATGTTTCTGTGACCTCATCGTGTCGTCTATCTCCAGAGGAAGCACCGTTCTGCCCGTACATCCTGCACGTCATGCCGTTTTTTTCCGTAGCTGCCGCGTCAGAAAAGTTTGCGAGACTAAAACTTCCTCTCTGCGTCTGCCTTCATACAAGCACGGCAAAAAACAAACACAAAAAAAAACAACAGTTAAAAACGAACACCAGCACACATTTACATACAGTACGCGCACATACGATCGGACGGAAACCACCAGCAGGCCGCCGTACGTTCACACTCCTCGATATGTTCTGATAAAATAAAACCCTCTGAAACACCTCCGAAAGTGCAAAGATTAAGATCAAGACCTGTACAGCGAGCACTTGGTGGAGTTTAGGAAGCGAACAGCTATTTACAGCGAGGACGGTCGGAGTTGGGCTCGAGGACCTTCAACGCGCCAAGTCGGTGTGGCTGGCGCTCAGGTCGCGGCTCTTCCTCAGACGATTATTTCGTTCCTGGAGGGAGAAAAAAAAAGAAATTAGATGAAAAAGTGCAAAAAAACCCCACAAACTCCTGATGTTGGAGAAGCTGAAACAAGACGATATTTTTGTTTGTACTTGATGGTAAAAGTGGTCGTAGGTGCTCTGATTAGCAGCGAGGTGAGCATAAGATGATGGATGATGTCCAGAAGTTACACATGAGGTGTTATTTTCAACATGTTGAGCAGGATTAGTGTTTAGTTTTGTACGATTTTTATGGTGAGGAAAAACGAATGGAGCGGCGTGCAAAAGTTTGGGCGCCCCGAGAGAAACGCTTTTACCAAAAACCTCGGAGCTGAATCAGACGGTTCACAGTCGTACAGCTTCATGAAGACGTGGACGTCCACAGTCAAAGCCGTCAAACCCGTAGAAACAAAACAACTGATGCTAACGGAGCAGGAATCGGCTGACAGAAGGTAGACAGGAGGTGTCGGGTCGCCGTGTCTTCAGTTGCTGATGGGATTTAAAAATGGCTGCTAACGAGAAACATCAGACGTTCTTCACAGGGGCGCTACGAGTGGAAAAACCTAAAAATCATGACAGAACTTCAGGAATTCTACTCTGTAGGTATTAATATATACGTTTAGAGGAAGACTCCTCAACAGCTGGAAACTCAGCTGCAGCTGCTGCTAATGCGCTACGGAGTGGTGAGAGCTCCAAATTATAAAAATAAATCAAAAGAATGATAAAATAAAAAGTGGAAATAAATAGACAAATAAATAAAATAAAAAAATAATGTGGCAATATAAGGCAATATTAATAAAAAAAAAAAGAATCCGTAAAAGAAAAGGCTGATGAAAGTAGAAATATAAAGACAAATAAAATAAAATAATAAAAATGATTTATTTTTTTATTTATTTTTATTTATTTTAAATTATGACTATTTCTTGAAATTATTTTTTAAATTTAATTTATTAATTAATTAATTAATTTATTTTTTATACTGTCGCTTTAAAAGCAAAGGATGTGCGCAGTAGGAATGTCGTAAAAAATACATTTAAAAATAACAATAAAAATGAAAATAATAATTAAATAAATTTTAATAATAATAATTAATAAATAAATAATAAAAAACAAAATCAAAAAACACAAACAAATCAATAAAAGAATAATAAATTAAAAGTAGAAAAAAAAGAAGAATAAACAAAATTGTAAAAAAATTATGTGCCAATAGAAAGTGATATTAATCAAAAATTAATCCATAAAAAAGGCTAAGAAAATTGAATAGAATATGAAGACAAATAATTAAAAAATATATAATATTTTTATTTACTTTTATTTATTAGTTTTTTAAATTATGATTTCTGTAAATATGATTTTATTTTAATTTTTTTAATGTGTTTTAATTTTTTTATGTCGCTTTAAAAGCAAAGGAAATATGTGCAGAAAAATGTGTGCAGTAGGAATGTCGAAAAAAACAACAACAATAAAATGAAAATAATAATAAACACATTTAAAAAATACAAAAACATAAAGAAATAATAAAAAGTAACAAAAAAACGAATAAGTTATGGATTCATTTTTGATTAATATCGCTTGAGATTGCCACAAAACCTTTTTAACAAATGTTATTTATTCTTCTTTTTATTTCCACTTTTATTTATTTATTTTTTTAAAAATTGATTTATTTTTATAATTTGGCGCTCTCACTACTCCATAATGCTTGAAAACGTAAAAACAATTCTTGCTTTTACGACTTTTACGACAAACTGCGACACCTGTCTTTAGTGTGTAAACGTGGCCTAAAAACCAGTAAGGGTTCAAACTGGAAACGATGGAAACATAAAGAAGCTTAAATTATTAAATATCTTCAGCTTTTAGAAACCATCTGTTCGGTGAAAGTTTTGACCAGAGGTGCCCAAAACCTTTGCACGCTGCTGTGTTAATGACAACAAGCTGTTTTTCCCTTTGAACCAGTGACATGTTTCTGTCCTTCACTGTGTTTCTACTCTCTACAGGACCACTCCCGGGCTGAACAACAAACCCTCTGCAGATGTTTTCTCCTTACTTGGTAGTGGTCGACGGCAGCCTTGTCCGCCACGTTAAGAACGCCCAGAGAGCTGGCTCGCTTCATGCTGCACCCACATGCAGGGAGGTGAGGGGTCAGAGGTCAGAGGTCAGAGGTGAAGGGTGGAGGGAGCTCGGTGGAGGTTAATGACACTCAAGTCACACAGAGGTTAGCTTCACAAAAACATTATTCCTCATCGCTCGTGAACATTAGAGGGTTAAAGCGTGAAACTCTGGTGTCACTTTCTAACAAGACGAAATATTGTAACCATAGACTGTATAAAAGATGGACGTAGCAACCGGCCCTGAAAAATGAAGCCAACCCGGAAGTGTCAAAAACCTGCAATATCACTACGTCCACCAGCTGCTGGCTCCAAAAAGCCCTGGCTCCCATAGACTGGAATTGGAAAAGAAGTGGTCACAGATCATGAAATACTGCATTCCTACAGCTCAGGATTTTGTTCTTATTAGTTTTCATAGTCAAATCCAGAGATCAGGTGGCCAATCTGGAAATAAATCAGTACTGAATTTTTTAAAAATCATCAACATTTTGCGGGGCGTGGCTGGCTTGATTGACAGTCGGCAGCGACCATACAGATGAAGCGAGCAGAAGGCGGTAAATGTGGGCGGGCAGAGAGGGCCTGCCTCTCAATCCATCTGACCAATCGCTGCTCCTATGGCTCCGCCCCCCTCTGACGATTTTTGCGTCACTGGCTCCAAAAATCCAAGATGTCAACCAGGAAGTAGCAAAACCCTGGCTTCATTTTCTCAGTGCAGAAACCAACGGGTGACGTCACGGTAGCTACGTCCATCTTTTATACAGTCTGTGGTTGTAAACGCATCATTTATTCATGTCTGAGCCATAAGAAGAGATTTGGGGTTGCCAGGTCTGTCCTCTTCCAGCACGATTAACCTCATTAATCAAATTATTTCGTAACCTGGACTGAGGTTACACGTGACCAATTTATCAGTAATTCATCAGTAATTAGTACGAGCTGCAGAAGTCTTTCTATCATCTGAGCACATCACGGCTCATTAAAGGTCATTTAATTTTTAATTTAATAACTGTCGCTGCCATGAAAATGCACAAATGAAATGTTAATTTTGGGATTTTTTTTTCCTAAAAAAAAGTCACATTTTCCTACATTTCGATGCCGATGAAGAGCTGTGTTAAAGTTAATCAGTTGTAACTGCAGACTAATTATCTTATTTTATAATTTTCTTTTATTGCTCAAAACATTTTTTCTTGTTAGAATTTTTCAGTTTTATCGACGTACGTTAATTTCGCTTAATGACTTTTAATGATTATTTGTAATATTCTGTATTTTTTAATGCTTGTGTAATATTATAACTTACTTCTAACGTGGACTTATATTTGTTTTTGGTATTTTTAAATTAATTATTGTAAAATATTGTATTTATTTTTTATATTATTGTTATTATTGTTATCGCATCTTGTCTCCCAGTCGATGTGCACCAGCATTTCACATTTAACTCGTTCAGTTTTAGAAAAATAAATGTTTTATCGATTGATAATATTTAGTTTTTATTGATCACGCACCAATAAACGACGACTGGTAGGAGATTTTTCTGGCAACCTTGAACTGCGTAAGCCCGATGTGATGATTACAAACTGCGCCTCCTTAGAAAGTGAACACCGTGTTGTAAACGAACCGTATTGTCATCGAGGATATTTACAGTCAGTGAAGTTCATGCAAACACAAAACCTGATGTGAGCGACGTGACGCTGCAGAAAACATCCGTCACCATGAATAACGCGTGTTGTCTGGTTCATGGACACAGATCGGACGTCATTCTTGCTTCCTTTTGGGCGAAGCCGCAGGAAAAATATTGTTCTAAGAGCTGCAGCGTCACACACGTAAATGTTCAGCTTACTGTCACAGAGGAGGAAAAGATGTTCACATTTAATGAGAAATGATCGACTTTTTTTCCATTACAAAAAGGACTCAAACCGATTTATCGATTATCCAAGTAGCTGGTGATGAATTTAATCGTTGACGACTACTTGATTATTCTTCTGATCTACGTGTAAATGTGGCAGAAAGTCCTGTTAGCAAAGTTAGCATCATGTTGGCCGCAGAAACTCAACGCTGCAAGCAAAGTTTCTGAATATCTTCAACCTAGAAAGAGTTCTCCAGGAAAATGAGCTCTCTGCGACCTAAAGCTGCATTAGCACGAAGGATAAACTGGCCGAGTGTTTCTGCGATACTTGTTCAAATAATCCACCAGACGAGCCGAGAAGCTCCGTTTGGAAAGAGCTGAGCTTTGACGCCGAAACGATGTGGACGGTGGTTAAGACGCAAAGAAAGACGACGAGCTGCGATAAAACACACGTGGTTACTGTTGAAGAACAACGTGAGCTTTTTGCTCGACTGTGACATTCAACTGAAGCTGGAATAAGATTTAAAAAT